AATAATTAAATACAAGAATTATTTTCAAGACCACTGATGATGGGCATTTAGCAATACTCGAAACAGCTGCATTTTTAGCCAAACATTGAACTAATTAAATAATATTAATATTAAAATTTTTGTTGTTGTAGTTTCCTGCTTTTCGAAAACGTCTTTATAAAATGGTTTCAGCAAAAAATATAATACTTGTATGCCGTAATTATTTATATATGACTTTTGGTATAAGTTGGCCCTACTGAAACGCTTTACAATATTTGAACAGTTTTTAAGCATTTAAAAATTAGCCGTTCAAAATTCTGTATTTTCTGAAACCTTAGAATAGATCCGGTCAAGAAATACGTAAGTGACAGAGCTCTGAAGCTATATGTGAAAATCGACAGGCTGGCCTACTTAGCACTATCTAATCTCAAAGTAATCACCGCACGGGGCGGTACGCAGATCTTAGATCAATCATTGAATAAGCACGAAGATTATGACGAATAGTCAAATTAGTCAGTGAGATGGGTGGGATTCTTCAGAAACCCCCCCGCCATCATAGAGTAAAAGTGCTATTACATTATAGATTCCTGAGTAAAAGATTTTAATTTAATAAATATTGTATTTAAACATATTCTTGAAATAAGAAACTTTTATAAACCTTTCATATCTTTTTGTAAGACTTATTAGAAAACGGGAAAAGTGTATGTATGTACTTACAGTTCATGTCGAGTGTGACTGTGCTAGAAATTGGCGTTGTCAGATTGTTGTTGTCCGCTTGGCACGTTAGTTGCATGTGCAGATTCTTCCGTTGTAGCTTACCGAGCGACAAAATATTCCCCACACGACGTTCTGACAATGCGTGTGATTTGCTGTCGAGCAAAGTGTTCTCATGCCACCAGGTAACTTGAGGTTGTGGACGTCCTGTTTTGATAGAGAAGAGCAAAAAGGAAAAAGAAAAAAAAAAACAACAAAATAAATAAATAGAAAAGATGAAAAAAAAATTTCAAAAAAGTAAACGAAATAAGAAGATAAATACAAAGGAAAATCAAGAGGTATTTCTTGAAAAGCTTCCATAAAATTGCTGAATGTGATGTGTTTCTTGTTATGGTTTGGAAAACTGTCATTTCATTGCCACTTCCAACCAAATGACATGAGTGTTTGGTTGATGTTATTAATATTGTTGTTTCCATTCTAGTTGTTAGATTTTTGACATTCTCAAGTGTTGTCAGAGTAATTGTACAGGAATCAGCAACAATAAGTTAGAAGCAAATATTGAGATACTCGTCAAATAAGCAAACGAAGTAAAATATAAGCACAACAGACAATGGTACTTGCTGATACAATACTAAGTGCATTGAGCAGATATTCTTGGAAAGATGACAAAACTATCAACAAAAATGTTGTTTAGATATCATAAAAGCTATTATTCCTCACCGAAGTGGTTATTAATGACGAATGAGCACAAATAAGTGCATACAAAGTAAATTATTATTGTATATTACACTTACACTTTTACTTTGATGAATACTTTGATGACTTTAAGTTTTCTTATATTTTTATAATATTTTCTATATTTTTTTTCCCCCTTAAAGGAATTCATACGAAAAATATGTGCAAATAATTTATGCAATTTTTCTTCAGTTGTTATTAATTGCCGAGAGCAACGTTAATAAGCAGGCTCACATGCGTAATAAAAATGACGTAAAAGTCATGTCAAGTTGCCGCACTTATGTGTGAGCCCAACTGTGAACCTTTAAGAATATATTTGTCTTCAAAGTAAATAATTGTAAGCATATATCCTTTCAAGCTTACATGCACATCCAAGCTTGCAGGTTTGTGCGAATGTGTTAAGTACTGTACGTAGTACGTATAACGAATAACGAATAACATCCCTGCCATACGCAACTGATAAAATATATCTTTTCATTTTGTTACTCAAGACAATTGAATGAAATGTGGAATGAAATGTGGTTCATCATCACGAACGAAAACAACAAAAGCAAAAACAAAAACAAATACAACAATATAGCATGATATACAAAATATTATTTACAGTACCAAGGTTAGCAAGCATTGGGAATTGTGCAGTTATTATCCTAGACACATTACGTATGAGTCTCATTTAAGGCTCATTTAAATCAAATATGAAAAAAGTTGAATTCGCATGTGTGCAGATATTTATATAAGTAGTAAGTATTGTAGTTGTTGTTGTTGTTGCTGCTAAAACTGTTGCTGCAACATTAAATTGTAAGACGAGTAATAATTTTCAATTTCGAAAGCGGCTTAATGACGTTTAAATTACTAGTTTAATTGCATGAATATAGTAATGAGATGAAATGCATAATTTTAATGAATTTAATGAAGCTCACAGTATTTGTTTTTGTTAACTGCTTAGATGTAGGTGTAATTTACTTACCTCCAACAGCCACACAAGTGATATTTATTGTAGAATCTTCATTGTAGGGCCCAAGTTTATAGTCCTTTATAGTAGCTCCTTTACTGTCAAGTATTATAATAGATTCAGGTGGTACTGAAAGTAAAGAAAATAGTTTATATTTAAAGTATATTTATGAATAAGGATTTTAAATTTTAATTAACAAAAACCCTCAGAAAAACAAAAATTAGAGTGAAATACTTTTAAAATTTGAGTTTATATGACTATGAATTTATAACAAATTTTTATTAAATTACAGCAATATTTTATTAATTAATTGAATTTTGTTGTTGTAATTTAATACTATTCGAATTTCCTTACTATTGAAAACAACAGTTTATATTAAGAATTTAGTTTCTTTCATCAAAACGGACGTTAAAATTCAAGTTCATTAATTTTTACTTCATTTTTAGAATTCAAATTAATTAATAATGGTTATGTATGCTGGTTTATGCTTTCGTTGGTACATAACACAGCAAATGAAATTAATAAAAATAAATAAAACTTCAAGTTTGAATATATAAGTCGTGAACAGCTTTGGGTCAGTTGGCTAATGAATGCTGACTCTGAGCTTCAATATTTGGCTGGGCAAGCGTTGGTACGTGCAGTCTCAAAAAATTTTTTACGAAGAATCAAGTACAAGAAATATTTTGAAAAAGACTACTGGTGATGAGTATTTGGCAATACTCGAAACTTAATAAACTTAATTAGTTAATAAATATTAAAAATTGTTGTTGTAATTCACTACTGCTTGAAATATCACTCTAATAAAACAATATTTTTTTCTTATATTGAAAAAGATGGTCTCTTACGTTATAAGTGACTTAAAAAAATCAAATTTTAATTTAGTAGTTAAGTGCCGGAGTCAAAAACTACTTTCTTCAACATCTTACTAAGATCAATGCAATAGGATCTGGTATAATAGGACTCTTCTGGCCGCAGTACCGGTTGTTGGGCGACTTCACGCTTAAACTTTTAATAATAAGATCAATGCAGTTCTATTTAACGGAATGAAGCTTCTCTTTAGTAGTAAGACATCTACCGGTTATCCCTAAGACAATACTCGAGTCCTTTAGTTTTTCTTGACTGCCACTATAAGCAGTCAAGTATTAGTATAGTATTAGTATTAGTATCATAGTATTATTAACATGTAGTCCATACATATGTGTTTATGATGGAGTCTTTGTGTTGTGATCATTCCAATGAATAGTTAATGAATATTTTTTACAAAAACATAGGTCATTAAGATCTAATTTAATTTTTTCACTAAAAAGTATCTACTTGAAGAATGTAAATACTTTCTTGATATTATATGTAAGGGAAATAAACATGTTACAATTTTAAATACTTTAAGTTTTAATTGAATATATTTTTGGTTTAATTTTTGAGTTCCTTTTAAGTTTCAGTTGTATGACTTTTCCTTTTCAAATTCGTTTCTACATTTAAAGTAAGTTATCTAGTATTCATTACGATAGAAGCCTAAACATGGAATATATCATTTCATATCTCAAAAATGATTGACCCTCCTACCTTGTGTAGTACAGTTATTTGTAGGCCATTATATGTCCTTTTAATTACGCACACCCACTATAATGAAGTCGCTCGCTCTATCATATATTATATATTTGAGATTATAGAGGTTTGAGGTTATAGAATCTTTATTTATGTCTCATTTGTATGTAATGTATCATGTAACCACTTAAAAACGATAAATTTTTTAAAGAACTAAAAATGCGATAAAACCTTCAATGCAATATTTTTTGCTTCACAACACTTTTTGTTATTCGATATTCAATTAAATCAACATTTTTTCTATTGAGTAATGAATTTAGTTCACACTTACTTATGACGGTTAAGTTGACTTTAGAATTTCGCGTGGGACTCTTCTGAAAGTCAACACGACATCGATACTCGCCAGTGTCGTCCTGATGTGTATTCCTAATTGCAAGTGTGCCCGAACGTCCTTCAACGGCAAATGACAAACGGTCGCGATATGATGCGTCTGACCAATGTGTACCCTGGGAAAAGTTTGAGTCACGCGTATCGACACTAAAATTGAAAAGAGAATAAAAGAAAAAATTACAATTCGCATTAAAATTTTCCAAGTTAAAATCTTGAATTAAGACCCCGTCGAAATTGCATTGTAAGTTTCGTCACTGTGTCTTCACTGCGTCTTCACTGTGGCTGAAAGGCGTGTAAGAAGTGGGGGACACTATATAATAATAAAGTTTTACTTAAATCAATTAAACGGAGGAATCCTAATTGAAATTCATCAACAGCTTGAGAGAATAGTTTGCAGCTCATTAAAGTATAAAAAAAGGAGGACTAATAATAAACTTTAGAGACAAAGTGGCAAATTGGATGAAAATGTAAGAAAACGCTAACAGTGACAACAACTGAAAAGTGGAAATAAAACTAAAGTAAAAAACAAAGGACAAAGGAAGTGAAAAAAGAAATATTAGAAAATGGCGTCAATTATAAAAGTTTAGTAATACTTAAGAGTGTACGAGGACTCGAATACGTCCAAAGAAACGTATTCGAGTGGACAAAAAAAAAAAATATGTAAATAAAAAATTTGTTATAAATGCTGTTAAAAGCAATCAAAAAAATGAAAAAAAAATGACAAATATGCAAAAATAAATTGAAGTAAAAATTTTACATTAAAAATGAATAAATTTTAGTTTTGTAATATTCAAAATTAAGTATGTTTTCGTGTCAGGCAAAAGTTGCTTGTTGTTTGCTTTTCGGATAAAGTTTCACAATTTTTGCATCATTTTAATTTATCATTGCGTTTTGGTCGGAGGAAATCTGACAACTCGGTTCTTACTTAAATTATTATGCTAATATTTTGCTGAGTGAAAACTGTAGCTCACACTAAATATGTTATGTGACATTAATTAGTTTTCTTTGGAAAGTTTTTGATTACTTTTTTGTTCGTTTTGTAAACAAAAATAGACAACATTTCCATTAAATGTTCACTTCACTCTTCTCTACAAAGTGCGGAAACTTAAGTGCTGCTAAGTATTGAAACTTTTGAGCTTAGCATTAATTAAGCGAAGTAAACAACAAAATTTTCTATTTTTACTGAAATGAAATTACTAAAAACTAAAACTGTGAATATTTTTAGAGTTCACGTATTAACAACAAACAACCAACAACAAACAACCAACAAGAAACAAACAACAAGAAACAACCAACAAGAAACAACTAACAACTTTGTCATGTCTCATTTTTCAGTTCATTCTTAAGTGTTAAAGGATTTTAGATTTTATTTAGAAGAAAACTAATTATGAAAAAGTTCCCTAATATGATTTAATTGGCTTACCTATAAATTGGCGTCTTCAACCCAAATTTGTACCAAATCACCAGAGCAACTCGATCTTCAGCAATGGGAGGCGTCACATTACACGGCAGACGTCCTAATGTACCTTGTAGGGACTCTGCTAACACAGTAGGACCTAATAAACGAAAAAGTATAAATGTTAAAAAATTGATTAAAAAGTTTGCGCATTAAATTCGAGAAAAATTAAATTAAATGTTAATGAAAATTTAAGCACGGTTTTAGGCGCTCAAAAAAAATATATAACTTTATAACGCAAATATAATGCAAACTGACGGATTAAGTTTCTGGGCTTTCTTTTTATTATAAAGGAAGCGCAAAAAAATGAAGTATGCAAATTAGAAACAATTTTTGACATAATTTGCATTTCTTCCATTTTTTTTATTTTATTCCAAACAGTAAAATAACTGCTCTTGATTCTTCTTTAATTGTTATTTTGCTTTTGTTATGTTTCTTCTTATGTTCTTTATTTTTCATTTTTGCGAAGTAGTGTAAAGGCATACCTTTTAAGAATGTTCTTTTGATTTAATAGGACTTAAAAATACTTAAAATTTATAAAAAATTTTGCTAAAAGCATTATTCATTTTATAATCTTTTTCGGTTGAGAGCCATATTTATCAAAAATTAAGCAGTTCCATTTGTTGCGAATTTATTTTAAGGCTCTTAAACCCTATTTTGTTAAAAGAATTTATTCTTTACAGTTGTTGAGTAAAAAATTTACTCCGTTTTTAATTTTAAATAATTTAATTTTTAGCTTATAATTAAAAAAAATTTCTTAGAAAGCATAGTAACGTTCATAGCCATTGAATTCTGCACACAAAACAACCTCGCTAAACTATTAAAAAGCGCCCATATTTACAATCTAAACAAAAATATTACAGAAATTAAGATTTTATAGATGTTTTCTTCCAAAATTCTAATAGATTGCCATTGACATGCCACCGCAACTGGCAAAAAAGTGATGCTTTGAAGCGTGCATGGGAACACAGAAATTAATGGCAATATGTCCACAGATAATCATTATCAACTACTAAATTCTATGTACTGGAGCGCTATTGTGGAATAAGTTATGGGTTTGTTATTAGCTCCGTTCAACTAAAGTATCGAGGCCATCCTCATTAGAACTCAACTGAGTATGCATTATCATCTTAATAAACAGGTTTGTCTGAGTAGACGGAATCTCGTCCCATATATTTACAGATACAATTACAGTATTGCTGAGGTTGAGGACAGTTTTTTTTCTCTAAGAAGCATTCATAAATTAAGTTATAAATTAAGCTAATTATGCAGTTATTCAGATGCTTCAGTTAGATTTCTACCACTTGTTTTATATGCAATAACATCGATAGAAGTACATTCGCAGTAAATATCGTATACGGTATTGGGCTTAGCAGATTTTTTGCAAAAGTGCAACATGATTAAAAGTTGAAAGTGTTGAGTTGAAACTTTACTCAATCTAGACCGGTATATCCTTAGCAAATATCTTAAAAAGTATCGAGGTCAGCACATTCTTTGAGAAATTTCAGGAATGCAGTAAAGTGCAACTTTTGCTGTCAGTTGGGTGCTACTGGTCAATCGATACAGGTAAATTCGTGGTGAATATCATATAGAGTATTTAGCCCAGTTTATAAAAACTCATGTATCATTGTGATGAAGAGCTGAAACATTGGTCTGATGCTGCACTTAAATATATTGATAACAAGAATTGTTCTGATGTTGTTATTAAGCATATAAGAAGGCAAGCTTGAAGTGACTACATTTTAAAAGAATCTAATGATTCTTTAGGTTAGGTTAGGTTGAGCAGGCGTTTGCGACAATTATTAGCACTTCCATTCGGAGGTATTTATTGCACATTGTGATGCTCTCAAAGATTTTGCCGGGTGAGGCGAATTGCTAAATTTTGCTATCTTTTGTGTACTATCCTTGTTAAACCATTTGGTTTTCCAGATAAAGTTGAGGAGATTCGATAAGTTTGCTTTTGTTATCTCTTCCAGGCCAGTGAAAAAGCGATACCCAAGACATTGGAATTGCCGTGTCTGCAGTCCTGGACAGAGACACAGGAAGTGGTTAATGGATTCTACCTCCTCCTCATCTTACATATTATTACAAATGGATAGGTTTAGGCTACTAAATCTCTTAGGAAATTCACAGAGAATGTGTTCAGAATTTTCAATTGTTTTAATATGATACCTCAGTCTTGAGTGATCTGTCAAGAACCCGTTGAGAATTCTATTAACTTCTCTATTAAGTGTTGCGAGTATTATTAGAGCGTATTAGAGATTCCATTATGGAGACTAATTAATTTCTTAGCCTATGTTTGACCTTTAGAGTTTGTTTAATAGCTTTAAAATAGGTAGTCTTCCCGAGATCTGAATTTGTTCATAATATATCTTCTTTTATGAGTACTGAGTACAAAGTACTGAATAAGCTGTCAAAGCATTCATGCTAAAATATGATTAATATGAGGTGAGTTTTTCATCTGTAAATAATACTAATCATGACGCCTAATGCAATTTATTTATCACGCATATGCTTTATCATTATTAACTGAATTATGAAGTCAAGCCCTGAAATTATTTACGAAAACTGACAGATTTACAACACCGCGTTATCGAGTATCGGAATGGTTACAGGCACCTCGGGGAAGTATGCAGATCTGAGGTCAATTATTGCTTAGTCTGATGAAGTAATAAACAATAATCAAGACAAGCTGTAGAGAGGGGTTTTGAAGAAACCTCGCAGTTAATAGAGGATAAAAGTGCTCAAGTGTACTAACTTAACTAGCTTCAACATAATATATATATAATCAACATTTTCTATAATATATCTATTAAATTTAAATTAAATTAAAATTTAAATTTATATATAAATTTGAAAACTACCAAGATATAAAACCGTTACTCGTAGCAAATTTTTAAAGTAAAGTTAAATTAAGTTAAAGTTAACTCGTTGTTCATATTTTATTTGAATCTTGAAGATATTTTTTTTTATTTAATTATTAGTAAAGAAATGATATGATATATATTAAATTTCAGTGAAACATTATTAACATCATGTCAGTCAATGTATTGTCATTCAATAAGATTTTAAAATGCACACAACCATCCATGTAAGGCATCGCATAGAGTTGCCTTCACTTGTGTGCCACGTCAAAGTAATTCAGTCAGATTTTATAACATGGAATGAACTTAACAGAAATCGTTATCCTTAACGTAAACAACATAAAATAAGGATAATAATGTAACGAATATTTGCGTCACATATACTCGTACTTGCGAACATGCTCAAGTCCTGCCACAGAGAAAGTACACAATGCTTCGTATTTTGTCAGTACCAATGGAATTTACATCTTTTGTTAGGAATTTCAAGTATGTATCTTGTAACATGTATACTATATCCGAGTTTAAACATTATTGTACACACACACATATATGGACTAAATAAATCGGCGTAAGTAGGTAGGGTGATATGCGGTTATGATTTACTATACGAGTACGGCAAAGGAATAGCAACAAATATATATAATCAAATGAGCGAAACTGTATCAATTTTTTTTCTGTTTAGTTTATTTAACAAAAGGATTACATTTTTTAAGTAAATTTTCCTTTTTTTTTCCCTCTTGTAAAAGCCTGCTCTTAATATTATCAGATGGCAGATGGATGCATGACATTGAGGGCGGGAATTTCATTTCATTCAAGTGGTATTTAATGTCAATTGAAAGGTATATTTTCAACTGAAATAAATTTTTATTTGCGTTTCTAATTGGTGGCATTTAAGAGTTTTCACTTAAGATGTGTAGTCTGAAGTGATTTGGGATTATTTTTATTGTATTTGAGGGATATCATTTTCATTCTTCAAATAATTGATTAAATACCTTTTCAAAGATAAACGAATTTAGCATCAGATTCTCTTCACAATTGAAATAATTTTCCTTTTTTTGCATCTAAACTTTGAGATGTTTCATTTGATTTGCTCCATTGAAAGCTGACAGCTGCATATTCCTTTCTGTCAAAATTATTAAATTTATCTCAAGCATTACGATAAATACTTGTATATATAAAAGCAATTATGATATTTAATAAATATTTGCAGGTTCTTATGCATGAATTATGTTTTCTAGACGTAATTGAAGCTGTGCACTAGTTATGAACTAATTTGAAATGATTTAATAGTCAATTAATGTAAACTACTTAAAATATGCTGCATCAATGTATAAAAGTATGTGATATGTTTAATATCACATATATCCATATGACACATATACATCACAATCAGTCATACTCATATTTTAAGCAAATGTTAACATGCAAAATCCAGATTAATTAATAACAAACCAGGTTAGGTTAAGGAGTGAGAGACAAAATTTGTTTAGTACTTCTAAGCGCTTGTAATATTTCAATATAAAGACTCTTTACTAAATAAATGCAGCACAAATTTTTGTAATTTTATCTTGAAGTAGTAGATAATTAACTAATTAATTTCCAATTACTTTGAAGTACTTGATAATATTGTTTTCATATAATACCAAATTTTTTTTTAATAACACATTGGAATACAGTAGGTTAGGTTAGGTTATACCGGTGATCCCTAGTGGATCCACTTAGGCCTTTTGGCCCATTGTGATGCCGTATATAAATACTAAAAATCTCAGGGTTTAAAACCACCTAGAACCTTTTGCGAAGCATAAAATGCTATTTAAAGCCCGATCCTGTAACTGGTCCAGGTCCTCAAGGAAGGGGGCCCCTAGAGTACTAAATCGCCGACGTGCAAGAGCTGGACAAAAACACAACAGATGAGATGCGCTCTCATCGTCCTCCCCACAGCTACGACAGATTTGGTTGAAAGGAAGACCTAGTCTTCTAGCATGGTTCCCTAGCTTACAGTGCCCTGTAATCAACCCTACCAGAAGACCAATGTCCTTGCGGGACATCTCAATGAGAGTTTTCGATTTCCTTTTATCGGAAAGTGGCCAGATTGCATACAGATGTCTACATATCGTTGAGTCTTCCCATCTTTTATTAAAAGTATTAGTGCAGAAAGAACTCAATATCAGTTTACATGATGTTAGCGATATGCCCAGATAGTCTAGGTGCTCCGAGTATGGTTCTGAAGCACCCT